GAATTTATTAAAAGTCAAAGGTTGGAAAAAAATATATCAAGCTAACAGGTACCAAAAAAGAGCAGGAGTGGCAATAATAATCTCAGATAAAATAGACTTTAAAACAAAATCCACCATAAAAGACAAAGAAGGATACTATATAATGATTAACGGGACGAGCCATCATGAAGACATAACCATAATAAACATCTACGGACCCAGTGACAGGGCTCCAAAATACATAAACTCAAACAACACTGAAAACAGAAACTGACAGTTCCACAATAACAGTAGGAGACTTCAACACACCACTCTCAGTAAAGGACAGAACAACTGAAAAGAAACTCAGCAACAATATCGAAGACCTAAAGGGCACAATCAGCCAACTTGACCTCATAGACATATATAGAACCCTCCATCCAACTGCTTCAAAGTACACATTCTTTTCTAGTGCACATGGAACGTTCTCCAGAATAGACCACATCTTACGCCACAGAGCAATCCTCAACAAGATACACAACGCTGAGATACTACAAAGTATCTTCTCGACCACAACGCCATCAACATAGAAATTAACAACAGAATGAGCAAGGAAAAAAAAATCAATTACATGGAAACTGAATAACACCCTGCTTACACATCACTGAGTAATAGAAGAAATCAGAGATGGAATCAAAAAATTCCTAGAATCCAATGAGAATGAAAACACATCATACCAAAAACTTTGGTACATAGCAAAGGCAGTCCTCAGAGGACAATTTATAGCAATAGATGCACATATCAAAAAAGAAGGAAGGGACAAAATCAAAATATTAACTACACAACTCAAACAAATAGAGAACAGCAAAAAAATAACAGCCAAAAGCCACCTTAAGAAATGAAATAATAAAGATCAGAGCAGAAATGATTGAAATAGAGAACAGAAAAACAATAGAAAGAATCAACAAAACTAAAAGTTGGTTCTTTGAAAGAATCAACAAAATCGACAAACCACTGGCCAGACTGATAAAAGTAAAACAGGAGAGAATGCAAACAACCCAAATAAAAATGAAATGGGTGACATTACAACAAACCCAACTGAAATAAAAAGGATCCTAACAGAATATTATGAAAAACTATACTCCTCAACAAATTTGAAAACCTAGAGGAAACAGATAAATATCTAGAAACACACTACCTACCCAAACTACAACCAAGTGATGTTGAAAATCTGAACAGACCCATAACAAGAGAAGAGATAATAAAAAAAACTCCCAACAAAAAAAAACCCTGGCCCAGATGGCTTCAGTGGAGAATTCTACAAAACATTCACAGAAGAGCTTGTACCAGTACTACTCAAGCTATTTCAGAGCACAAAATAGGAAGCAACACTTCCAAATTCATTCCATGAAGCCAGCATAACACTGATACCAAAACCAGGAAAAGACGCCACAAAAAAAGAAGATTACAGACCAATATCTCTCATGAGATAGATGCAAAAATTCTCAACAAAATTCTAGCCAACAGAATTCAGCATCATATCAAAAAAATAATACACCACGACCAAGTAGGAGTCATACCCGCTATGCAAGGATGGTTCAACATTATCCACATTAAAAAAAGAATCACATGATCATCTCAATTGACACAGAAAAGACATTCAAGAAAGTCCAACACCCATTCCTGATAAAAACTCTCAATAAAATAGGTATAGAAGGGAAATTTCTCAACATAATAAAGGGCATCTATGCAAAACCAACCAACATCACTCTTAATGGAGAGAGGCTGAAAACATTCCCCTTGAGAACAGGAACAAGACAAGGATGCCCTCTGTCACCACTCCTATTTAACATTGTGCTGGAAGTTCTAGCTAGAGCAATAAGCAAGGAAAAGAAAGGGAATCGAAATTGGTAATGATGAAATTAAACTGTCCCTGTTTGCAGATGATATGACACTATACACAGAAAACGCTAAACACTCCACAAGAAATCTACTGGCACTAACAGAAAGATTCAACAGAGTAGCATGATACAAGATAAACATACAAAAATCAGTTGGATTCCTATACACCAATAAAGAGAATGTTGAAAAGGAAATCAGGAAAACAATACCATTTATAATAGCCCCTAAAAAAATACAATACTAAGGACTAAATCCAACCAGGGATGTAAAAGACGTATATAAAGAAAACTACAAAACACTAGTACAGGAAACCCAAAGGGATCTGCATAAATGGAAAAATATACCATGCTCAAGGACAGGTAGACTCAAGATTGTGAAAATGACAATTCTACCCAAAGTGATTTACAAATACAATGCAATATCAATCCAAATACCAACAACATTCTTCAAAAGGATGAAAAAACTTATCATTAACTTTATATGAAAAGGGAACAAGCCCCGAATAAGTAGAGCACTACTGTAGAAGAAAAATAAAGTTGGAGGACTCACACCACCTGACCTCAGAACCTACTATACAGCTACCATACTCAAAACAGCCTGGTACTGGGACAACAGATACATTGACCAATGGAACAGAATTCAGAACCTGGATGTAAATCCATCCACCTACAGTCACCTGATCTTTGACAACGGCCCAAAGTCCATCAAATGGGGAAAAGACAGTTGTTTTAACAAATGGTGCTGGCAAAACTGGATATCCATTTGCAAAAAAATGAAACAGGACCCATACCTCACACTGTATACAAAAACGACTTCAAAATGGATCAAAGACCTGAATATAAAGCTGAAAACTATAAAGTTCATAGAAGAAAAAATAGGACCAATACTACAGGCCCTAATACACGGCATTAACAGAATACAAACCATAA